CCGTGAACAACAAACCCAGCTTCATTACACTATTGCACGTCTTAAGCTGAACATGGGATTTTCTTTCAGCAGGTAAAAAGAATTGACAATCTATCTATCTATATATATCTATATATATCTATATCTATATATATCTATCTCTCTCTCTCTCTCTCTCTCTCTCTCTCTCTATATATATATATATATATATATATATATATATATATATATATATATATATATATATATATATATATATATATATATATATATATATATATATATATATATATATATATATATATATAGGGGAAAGCGGGGCAACATGGCGAATGTTTTGAAAGGACTGAGTTATTGCAAAACTATCAGTCGTGAAGCAATAATACTTCCTCAGTATGTTTATGTTATTAGAATGATTCATTGCCTGCATGAATTTTCACTTTGCAAATCTAACAATTTGAAATAAATATTAAAATAAAAAGTTCATAAATTTGCCATCTCGTCACGTGACCAGGGGCAAGATGACTTATTATGCAATTTTTACCTCCAATTTTATAAAATTTAAAAACTACCAATAAATTTAACTAAAGTAACAAAAAATATATACAAATTGCAAAAAACTACTTCTAAAGAAATTAAACTTGAAGGACACCATCCATTATGAGAAATCGAAAGTGAGGAATTTTTTTTTAAGCGCTAAAAGTAAACTTATGCGTATAAAATTGCGTTAATAATATTTCAAAAAACCAATTGGTGTTTTAAAATATAAGACGCAAATACAGTTTTGTTTTCACCAAATTTTAAGATTTTTTGTTGAGTTGTTTTACGAAAACCCATCTTGCCCCATTCGCCATGTTGCCCCGCTTTCCCCAATATATATATATATATATATATATATATATATATATATATATATATATATATATATATATATATATATATATATATATATATATATATATATGATATTATTCATCAGTGAAATTAAAACACAATTGATTTTAATTAAAAAAACAAAAACATGTCCCCTCCGCCCCCCACTCCTCATATATACACATATGTATATATATATATATATATATATATATATATATATATATATATATATATATATATATATATATATATATATATATATATATATATATATATATATATATATATATATATATATATATATATATATATATATATATATATATATATATATATATATATATATATATATATATATATATATATATATATATATATATATATATTGAATTTGAGCGGCTAAAATGGAAATTAAGGGCGGCTAAAACTGCCAGATTTTAATTAAAAAAACAAAAACATATCCCCTCCGCCCCCCACTCCTCATATATACACATATGTATATATATATATATATATATATATATATATATATATAATATATATATATATATATATATATATATATATATATATATATATATATATATATATATATATATTTATATATATATATATATATATATATATATATATATATATATATATATATATATATATATATATATATATATATATATATACATATATATATATACATATATATATACATATATATATATGGGGGGAGGGGGATTGTAAACATATGTTCTATTATTAAATTTTGTTTTTGCTTGTGAATTAAATATTTAGTTTTATGTTGTTTTGTTATTAAAATAAAAATTAAAAACTTATATGTAAATCATAAAAATTTATTGTTTAATAACAATAGTAATAAGAGTAATAACAATAATAATAAAATAATAATATAAAACAAAATATTGATTTATATATAGAAGAAGTTGGATATATAAATGATGATGCAATACCACCTCAACCTTTTCATAGAGCGCCTTAAAAAAATAAATATCATCAAAAAGTTATAATAAACTTCAGATATTATTAGATGTAAAATTTCCAATTTAAATACTTAAAGATTTGCAATATATAAACAAATACATAAATAACTAAAAGAATAAGTGTAAAATTACTTCCTTCAAAGAATAAAAAGTAAAACTATTTAGAAAAAATCTATCGTAGTTGATAAAATGTAAAAACGTTTTTTGCTTGAAACTTAAGAGTTTAATGATTTTAAATTTATTGCATTTGTTTTTTGAAAATAACTCCATATCTTAGGTCCAATTTAAAGAAGTTTGATTAATTTTTTCTTTGGATTTATCTATCATTTATATATTATAAATTGGATTTATATATTTTTCCAAACTTACAAATAAAAGTAGCTGTTAGCATACATAACCCAAATAGGTTAATAAATTCATGGTTTTAGTAACACAGATAAATTTATTACATATATACAAAATATTTCACATTTTAGTTACCTTAATTCGTTAAAATTGAATGAGCAAAACACCCCGACGGGCATTTGGCTTTAAAAGTTACGTTCTAAATGTATTTTAAATGTCTTTTAAACGTCTTCTAAACATTCTTACGCAAAAAACGTTTAAAAGACATTTAAAATACATTTAGAACGTAACTTTTAAAAACAAATGCCCGTCGGGACAGATTAATTTAGAAGTTTATATGATATTTACAGTAACGACGCAATTATTTAAAAAGCAGTCCTAGAGTTTGAAAATTTGAAACTCTACGACATGTTTATGCATCAATATCACCAGTACTGTCAAGTAAAATGCAAATAAAAGACACAATTCTTAATTGAGAAACAGATGATATCATGTCTTCCTAACTTGTCTAAACTCTACAAAATCTACATGTCTATTCCTGTAACAGCTGCTAATGATGAGAGAGGTTTCAGACTAGAGACTATTAAAAATTTTCTCCGATCAACAATTACAAACGAATGTCTTTATAGATTGCTATTTATTTCAATTGAACGAGAAATTAATGAGAAAACTGACTTGTCAATAAATCGTTATAATTCAACACAGAGGGCATACACCTCCGTAAGACATCTATACAGCGTTTTATAAACAAAAAGTCATATCCCTATATAGTCGCGGTACTTTTAATACCGACAATTTCAAGAAATGGTGGGAAGTCTCGCAAATGCTTTACTTATTTATTTCCTGCCTCAGTAAAATGGTTTCCAGAAACCCCAGCAACGAGTTTTCGGAACACAAGTAATAAGTGACTATATGAATATTCACAAAACTGAATTACAAGATGGAATTTTGAATTGAAACTGAATTACAAGATGGAATATAAGATTTTCTCTCTCTCTCTCTCTCTCTCTCTCTCTCTCTATATATATATATATATATATATATATATATATATATATATATATATATATATATATATATATATATATATATATATATATATATATATATATATATATATATATATATATATATATATATATAAATATATATATATATATATATATATATATGTATATATATATATATACATATACATATATATGTATATATATATATATATATATACACATATATATATATATATATATATATATATATATATATATATATATATACATATATATATATATATATATATACATATATATATATATATATATATATATATATATATATATATATATATATATATATATATATATATATATATATAAATATATATATATATATATATATATATATATATATATATATATATATGTATATATATATATATACATATACATATATATGTATATATATATATATATATATATACATATATATATATATATATATATATATATATATATATATATATATATATATATATACATATATATATATATATATACATATATATATATATATATATATATATATATATATATATATATATATATATATATATATATATATATATATATATATATATATATATATATATATATATATATTTATATATATATATATATATATTGGAACTACAAATTAAACTTAACGTTGCGTAATTTATGGACGATCCCTAAAGCTCTAATAAATATATATCTATATTATTAGGATTAAAATAATCTTAGCATTATGTAAATTTGTGGATTTTGTGATATGTTTCAATAAGTATTAATTTATCGAGCTGTTTCAAATATTATATTTTTTTAAAAGAGAAAAATAAAACTTAGAATGGAATTATGAAAAATATAAACTTAGAATGGAATGGAAAAAAACTGAGCAGCCGTGGCGCAGTGGTTAGAGTTCTGGCTCAGAACCCAGAGGTCCGAGGTTCGACGACAGCTCTAGCCCAACAAGTGACATTGGTACGGAAGGAGGCGTGAACTTCCTGTTAAATGCTCTCCCGCGGTGCTCTATGATAAGACCGCAAGGACTTCTGGGAGCACCTAAATAAGTACAAAAAAAAAAAAAAAAAAAATTACGTATACGTAGTTATGGAGAGCTCACAGATGACTGGAAATCAGTATTGCCATCGAGTACCTTTATACTAGACGTGTGGTACACACACACAAATTATGGATCAATTTTAGTTTTTAAACTTCTCAGTCGAATTTTATACAAATAAAGCTATTAATTTATTTGCAAATATTTTTAAGTTTTCTTATTATCGGTGAAGTTTTCATAAATATTTCGTTAATCAAAACTGGAAAAACTGCTACGAAATAAAAAATAAATTCAAAAATTAACAAAAAAATTTCAAAATAATGTTTTTACTTTTTTTTAATCATATAGATGCTTCATAAAGTATTTATTGTTCTAAAGTAACCCATAACCATGATCAGATATTTAGTTTCGGGTTTTCGTCAATCTCAAGGTCATTATTACCTTGTTTACGAGGAATGCTCAGCATGCATAATTCTTTCACAGGGAAAATATTTATATAGCGAATCTCTATACTGTTTTTTTTTGATACTCAATTTTTAGAAAAATGTAGTTATTCTTAAACCTAAATAATTAAACAAAAATTTTTTATTTGATATATTGGTATCAAAAAAAAAAAAAAAAAGAATAAAAAGAAAAACGCTTAATTATATTTTATTATAACATTAGGTATGCTTACATTAGATATGCTTACATTAGATATGCTTACATTAGGTATGCTTACGCTTGCTTTGGTAGTTTTTGTGCAGATCAAAATCCACAAGAACATTGCAACTCTTGTAGGGCCGAATTTTAGCAGTAAAGGTTGGTCATTCTATATATCATACTGCGCTTTAATTGCTGGACTTGTATCGTTAATATTAGGGCTCATTTTTATGGTTATCAGTTTAATTCAACACTCAAAAAAAGGAAAACGTCTAAACGATCATTCCAGATCAGTAATTCCAAACGCTCCAGATTTTCCAGAGATCGCCATTGACATGAGTCGAGAAAACAAAAGTTACACATTTGACGATTTGCCTGTTTATTCAGAACTTGACAACGTCGATTCGTTTAAATACACTCCAGACACAGAACCTCATGTAAAAATGAGAGCATTTTACTCAGGTACGTATGACCAAACTGACACGGAGTATAATTTTAGTTAATCAAAAAACAATGATTATTTACTATTTATAATTGATTCTTGATAAAAAAACTATACAAATCTAGTATTCTAGTCTCCATTAATTTTTCACTGTTATGTAGATAACATTTTATGTTTTTTTTTTTAATAAATATTATTTGTATTATTACTATTTTATTTCTATTTTAATATTGTCATTAATAGTTTGGTTGTAATGTGTTAAAGAAAACCATATATAATTTTATAATATATTTTGTTACCGTATTTTATCAAATCTTTTTGACATTAATAGTTTGTTTATAATATGTAAAAGAAAATCATATATATTTTTATAATATATTTTGTTACCATATTTTATTGAAATCTTTTTATCATTTTACTTTATTTTGAAAAAAAAAAAAAATAAAGCTGTGTATATTCGATAAAAAAAAAATGCACTGTGTCATGAATCGACTCACTAGTTGTATTTCATCCAACAAAAAAACACCATCATTTAAAATATTTATTTAAAAATTAGAAATTAAAAATTTTTAAAATACTGGGGTACATTTTTAAATAAGGAGGGAGGGGGAATGGGTTAAAACATACGAAATTTTAAAATAGCCTTGCTACTAGAAATATGTACTTTATTATCTGCAAAAAATATTAACTTAAGTAAATCTTGTTCCTACCGGCTAGCTTCATATGGAACGTTGTTGGAATCTTTCTAATATCAATAAATGACTTAAGACCTTTAAGCCATAAGGGATCGTCCATAAAGCACGTATGCTCAGAAGGTAAGAGGTCTGCAAATGGCGTATTTGAGATGGGGGACAGTGGGTCAATTATTAAAAGTAGTATACTCTATATTAAAAATAATGTATCATAAAATGTTGTTTAGGTAGGTTGTGTAAGCGTAGTGACGTTGAGGGAGGTGGAGGGTACTCAAAAAAACGTATAGCAAAATGCGGGGAGGGGAGGGGGAGATCGAAATAAAAGCGTTCGTACTTTATAAACAACCCTTAATGTATAACAAAACAAAGGGGTTTTATTAAAAACTTTTTCATCAAAAGGCAGTTTAAAATTAAACTAAGTAATCTTCCACAAAGTATATACCCAGCAATGAGTACATACGAAGAGGGGGTGTAGTAGGGAGAGGGGTGGAGGGTTTGGGGATTTAGTAATAAACAGTGCGTACTCAAAGGAAGAAGGGTTGTTGAAAGCATAATGGTGCGTACAAGGCAAAGAAGGGGACGAGGAAGTAGGTTTATTGTGTAAGTACTTTATGGATGCCCAGTATAGGTTGCTCAGATACTAAGTATAGGTTTTATTACAATTTACATTTAGTTTGTTTTAAATAGGTTATTTTTAAAACAGATTAAATAAATTATTTTTAAAACAGTTTTTGGCATTTAATACTTTAAAGTTTAAATATCTTTCAACTTAATAATGAATTAAAGCACTCGGCATTGGGTAGACAAAAGAAATTGCAACTTATCCTTTTTTTTAATGTGGAATTTGCAAAAATTATTTGTTTATGTTTACAAAAACAAAAAGTCCCCCGACCAGTTGAACACTTTTCAGATAGAAAAGATTAGTTAAAAGTTAAATTAGGGCTGAAGACGCCGGATTGTCGGCCATGTAAATACATCCGTTAAAATATAAAATTAATCTGCTAAAGTATAAAGCTGTATATCAAATGTCAATTCTGAATAAATAATGTTTAGATTGGTTTGAGTTCTAAGAAGTCTGATACTGTTGCAATTAGTATCATTTAATCAATCAAAGCATTTTTATCTTTTTAGAAAACGCACTAAAAATCAGCACTAAATGTCTGTCAATAATAGTATTATAAAAAGATGTTTTTAAAAAATAACATGATATTGATACATTCAAATTATAATGAACAAAATGTTAACCACAAAATGCTGTAAATCAACTGCTGTAAAAATCCTTAAATTATTGGTATTGGAAAAGGATCTGCGCAGAGAAGAACATTTTTATAGAATCAAGGAAAAAATGATTACAGAACTACTAAAATCAGGCAAATAATTTAATTTAAAACAAAAAAAGCAGAGAACCCAGCAAATCTTTGAAAACATTCAAGCAACTTTGAAAAAGTATTAATCCTTCAAACAGAGGATCTAAAAAACTGATTTCTACTCTTAACAGGGCTACTGGAAAGAGAGTTGTACAGTCAGGTGCTACGAAGTTACAGTCAAATCTTTACTGTAATCAAAATAAGAGTTAAAAGTTGTTTCAATCTTTAGTCAATGAAATTTAAAGTGATAAAACGGGTTAATAGAAAAGGTTCTTTTTGATTTTATTATGAACATTATAAGTGAGAGAGCATTGAAAAATTATACTTCTATAGTACGAGTATTAATTGATGGAGGAGGCGGTTTGTTAAAAATATGATACAAGTTTTAGATATTCTCCAGATAGGTTTTCATAATGCGTATGATATTAAGTTGGATAACATGATTATGGGCTTATCTAGTCATGGTGGAACTCATGAATGCTTTTTTTGTGGAAGTAAAAAGGCTGTAAATAAAGGAAATTTAAAAACGTTTAAAAGCCTTAATCTTTCTGAGTTTCAAGCAGGAAGAGAAAAAAATAACAACAACCCAGCTAGATACAACTTTTATTTGAAAAAGGTTAATAAAAAAAATTCCTATACCATCATTATATATATTTACAACTTTTATTAACATCCTCAGCGACCTAGCCAAACTTTATTCAGTGTCAGCCTGGAAAATACATTTTTAAATATAGTTATCACGGAGGAAGGTTTAATGGGGAAAACTGTAACAAGATACTGTCTAATTTTAGAAAGTGGACATTTTTCATAGTTGGATACAGTACAACTTGTAGGTCAATTCATGTCACAATGCATACAGTGGCAACAAAATCATGGCAATCTTTGGTTGGAATTAATACTCAAAATTTTAAATTTATTTCCAAATTATTTCACAATTCACTGACACTTTTAAACAAAGTTTTTCTATTCATATTCATTTCATATTTAAATAGTGAAATGAGTTTAAATTTAAGAGTTCAAATGACGAAAACGTTAGCAAACTTTTTTTTTTGCAGAAATAATTTTAATACTGTAGTTAACATTTTTCTCGCCTACACTGAAATTTAAAACAGAACAGTCATAAAATAAAAAAAATTATTAAAAAAAAAATTTAAATAAATATTTTTTTGATAAAATACATAAATAAATACTTAGAAATATAATCATAACAAAGATTTCGATTTTATCTAAAGTCAAAGAGTTAAATTATATAATTTAAGAAAAAATAAAATATATGTTCTGAGGTAGCATCAAACGTAAAGTATAAAAATAAAATATGGAATACAAGAATATCCGATGGAATACAAGAATATCCGGGCGGAATACACAAATTGATGCTCTATAACTTGAAGCCAAAATATGATATTGAGATTTTTATTTCAGCTACGTACACTAATAGCTCAAAAATATAAAACATAAAACATTAAAAAATATTTATAAAGTGCTATTTATTTTTTAGTAAGCAGAACAAAATAAAATCGGAAAAAAGTCAGAAATCCACTTTCACAAACTAAATATCAGAAATAATGTTAAATATCAGAAAACAGATCGTAAATAGCACAGATTACATGATCAATATGTAGGGTAACATGGGGTAAAGCGAGACACTTTCAGGGAGAATGTTCATAACTTGAGAAGTATCACGTTTTACAACAAGAAATTTTGCAGGCCATCAGCACATTATGTGTTTAACGACCTCTTAAAATGTTTGTATTGATAGGTTGTTACATTGGTACGTAATTAAACTCAAAATAACAACAACTACCCTGTCTCACTATCCCCAAAACCTGGGGCAAAGTGAGACAGATTTTATTTGAAGAAAAAACTAAGTAAAAATATAATTTTCAATAAAAATTAAAGCAGACTTTAATAAATTCGATCTGATTGAATATAAGAACGCAAATAAAAACACAAAGATATCATTTTATAATGTAATTTTTCCTTTTAAATCATAAAATATGATAGGAAAAAGTATCAATCAAAAAAATAAAATAACAAAAAATAAAAATCAAAAATAATATCAATAAAAAAAAAAATGCATATGCAAAGTTTCATGTTAGTCAACAAATTTGAATAAAATCTTCACACTTAAAAAGCAAACATCATTTAATGTTTTTTTTTTAAAGTTGACTGGATAACTAACAAGTTATCCAGTCAACTTGGGTATTATTGCACCATTTCCCTTGACAAACTGGACAAAACCATTTCTCTTCATTGTTTACATCGTTTTCAATCAAGAATTTCGTTAGTATTCTTTTCTTTTTGTTCATTTTTATATTTCTCTAATTTAATTTATTGTCATTGTTCTTTTCCAGTAATTTTTTTTTCTTAACGTTCTTTTTTTTTTCCTATTGTTTTTTTTGATTGTTCTTTTCATAAAATGATGAAAGCAAGTTAAATTGCAATTAGTGAATCCAAATCCGGATTTCGGAATTTCGGATTTCCGAAATTCCGTCATATTTTGAATTTTTGAAAATCCGGAATTCAAAAACGTAAATTCCGGATTTTTCGAATTTAGAATTTTGATTATTTAATTCTTATTTTATTTTTGAAGTTATTTAGAACTGCTTTTATAAAAATTGCAAAAAAAACTTTTGTTTTGTTTTTATATTGTGTATTTCTTCCATTCTAAAAATTTTAATTTTTATTACTAAAAACGTTTTTCATCAACAAAGTTGTCATCCTCAGTAGTATAATACAACAGTTTTTAGTAATAAAAATTAAAATTTTTAAAACGGAATAAATACATAATATAAAAATAAAACAAAAGTTTTTTTTTGAAATTTTTAGAATTTCGAATTTAGAAGAACTTTTACTATAGATGGCAGCATTGTGTACTTTCATTGTTATCAATTCAAAAAATTTAAATTTTAGTAGGCTTATGTTAATGCAAATGCATTAAAATTTTTTTTTTAAATGAAATATTAACATTAAGAAATTAAATTGTATGCAGAGCAGACAAAGTAAGTCATTATATTAGTTTTATGTTTTAAAAATTTTGTAGACTTACATTGTTATTGTTTTAAATCCCAACCCAAGTATGGTAGATAAATCTGAAGAAACTTTTATGGACATTTCAAAAGAAAGCTCATCAAATTCAGTGTGGAAATATTTTCTACGAGGGAAAACAAATCAGGTGGCGAAATGCATGCAATGCAAGCAAGTTTTAAAGATATTGGGTACAACTCCCATGCAC